GTCATAGCATAGACGATATTTGATGTCGTACAGGTCTAAATTATAGTCATAGATTGGAAAATGTGAATACAACATTTAAAAAACAAAGTAACATACTGCTGGACAATTCAGATAGGTAATATATCCATTGACAAATTGATGTATTGAACTTGAGTTAAAATCAATAACTGGCCATGTTTGACTTTTCTTATCACTATTTTTTGGATAGCAACATAAACAAAGTTGATTACCACATGGAAGTACTGAGTATCTTGCTTGAGGTTGATCTTTTCCACAGAAGAGACCTTCACTGGTCGAGTCACATTTAGCTTCTCGGTACGAACAAGTTTTCATGTAAAATAGATCCACTGAAATAGATTCAAATATAGAAAAACAATGATATGATATCTCACTATAAAAACGCACCATCTATTTGTAGATAGAATTCTAATGCAATCGCCATTTGTTTCGAATTCAAAGTTGGTTCTTGTAAGGCAACATCAGCCATACATAGAATATTACGACGAAAGGATTCATGCAATGCCAGAAGAGTACAGCATATGGTACGAAGTCGATCCGCATTGAAGGTAATGATTGCTTTGCCGACTTTTAAACGTATGGCTAGTTGTTCAACGTCTTCTTGTAACAAACTGAATGAATTACCATAGTTGTATGTGTTCATGAGCATCAGTGCATCCGATATATAGGCTCCATGTTCACGTCGAATAATTTCATCAGATGACAGATGACTAACTAAAAAAAACAAAAATAAAAGGAACAATCAAAGAAGCATTTAGCAGTGGAAATAGGGGAAAATACGAACTCGATACATTAGCCAAAAGTAAACATTCATCAATGCCAACAGATTTAGTTGGAAATAATGGTAAATAAGCATAGCGTCCATTCTTCTTCTTATCTGGTAATGTTCTAGGTTGATAATCATGTTGTTGACGATTATCGACTAAAAAGTTACCATATTCTGTTTGATTTAAATCAGTTGTATTACGTTCCATAGCGAATGAATAAGTTTTCCAAGGTTCTTTGTATTTCAAATCTTGTTCAATTGCTCGTTTATTTTTCTTCTCTGTCAAGGTTCTATCTACAAGAGCAAAGCATATGAAAGAAATTATTTTTTTTTGTTTTTTTCTTAACGTTTTCACTAGTAAGGGTACGAGAAATTTATTATAATTATATGATGGAGAAAGATATAGGTATGGGAGTAAGGAACTAGAAGATACAAAATGAATCGTTCAACTAATATATTGTCCTAACATAGTTTTTGTTGTTCGGCATTGATTGCTGTTCCATGGAACAGTTGCAATATTTGTTCGAGATTATATTGCGCCCGATCAACCATATTGTTTTGACGGCTTTCAATGGTCATCATAATTGAATCTACAGTCGGAAGTTTGGTAAATTTCTTCCCATTTTCCAATATTTTTGTTTTCTCATCAGTGACCTTCTGAAAATAACTTTGAGCAATATTCTCCGCTATCAATATTGCTCGTGTGGTTAATTCGTGGATGAATATGCCATGCAAGCTCATTTCATTTATTGTTGTATGTGTTGTTGAGTGCCATTGTTGGTCAAATAGAAGAGTGGCCAATATCGAGTTGATTTTCGTTAAGGTTAACTGTTGCAATGTGTAATAAGTTGAATTAGATGGATGAGAGAACCATTTCTTGAACACAGCTATCTCATAGTTGAGTTTCTGTTGCTCCTG